CCATCCATCCATCCATCCATCCATCCATCCATCTACCCACCCATCCACCCATCCACTCACCCATCCACCCACCCATCCATCCATCATCCATTCATCTATCATCCATCCATCCATCTACCCACCCATCCAGCCAGCCACTCACCCCTCTATCCATCCATCTTACAAACCTTTTTTTTTGGAGCATATATTATGGACCAGAGACTGTATTAGGTGCTAAGGGACGGTAGGGAGACCTCCCCAAAGTATCCATGTATATCTCTCCATCTTCCTGTCCTCCTTGGCATGAGGTGGGGCCTGGTGATCTACCTGCCCATTAGGAAAAGAGAAGCTGAGGAAGTCCTGCTCTTATAAAACACAGTGATGAATCATTAGATGGATGAGGTCATTTGACAATAGGATTTTTGCAGATATAATTAGACGAAGGTGGAGTCATACTGTATTTAAGTAAATCCAATTTACTGATGCCCTCTTAGAGGAAAAAGAGGGCCATGCAGAGGGCATGTAGCTGTGTAAAGACAGGGAGGATGCACCTGTACCAGGTGCACTGTGGACTGACAGCACACTCTAGTAGCTGGGAACAGGCAAGGGGGGTTATCCCTGAAGTCTCTGGAGGGGCATGACTCTGCAGACACCTGATTTCAGACATGTCCCCCTGCACCCTGAGAATACATTTCTAATGTTTTAAGTTTTTCCTGTGGTACACACACAGGAAAGTAATAGCAGTGATGTAGCTACAAGAATGTGAGACTGCCTAGGCCTCACAGACTCGTGACAATGGAGCTAGCAAATCACAGCACTCAGCACAGCATGGAAGCTGTCACAGGCTACTGTGACAGTAAGTGCCCCTGGCCATGTTCTAAGTTTTGCTAAAATTTGAAAAATTTCATTCCAAAGTCAGGAGCGAGAGTGGCCTGGACTGCAGGTTGGCGAAGGGTTGGATGGCAAATGTCCCCTGCCCCTCTGGATTCTTCTGAGTCTGACTGAATCATCAAATTAGCATCAGACTTGTAGGAGAAAAGAAGTTTATTAACACACATGGAGGGACATGACATCGATGTGGGTTCCCATTCCAGTGAGGGAAATGGGGACAAGTGTTCTGGGCCAACGAATGGGGTAGGGACCTGGGGCTACCTCAAGGTGTGCACATGAAGAGGAGACGGTAACCCCAGGGGCAAAGACCAGATATTCTTTAATTATATTCTTGTCCTGCTATGCATTTTTCTTGAACAGAAAGATTATTTCTGGTACAGACTCTAATTCTGGGTATTGCCCCCAATTCACGTTTAGGTCATTAGGGAGTGATGAAAATTCTTTGTGAAACCGTGGGCCCACCATTGAGCTCAGCTGGAAATAATTCACTTGCCAAAGTTACATGGCATATGGGAAGGTTCCTTCCGGACATCTTGGGGATGTCCTAGCGACTAATCAATGGCAAAGTGGACAGAGTTGGAGTGAGCCATCTGAATATCTTTTTAAAAAACTTATTATTTATTTTATTTGTGCATACTGAACTGGGGTACAGGCCAGAAATGCAGGGGCGGTGAGTGGATTCACCAGAGGCTGAGTGGGGAGCAGAACAGGTGGATGGACAAAGTACACACTGAGGGGAGCAGCGGGTGGGCAGGTCAGGAGAGGTCTGCCAAGCCAGGTGGCCATCTCCAGGGCAGGGAGGGATCGAACTCATGCGGAAGTGGCTTCAGCTTCCCAGTGCTGTGCTTTAACCCACTGCACCACCAGGGAGGGCCCATCTAAATATCTTGGGGGAACACTGCCTTTCAATGGAAACACGATAGAGTCTGGAGCTTGAGTCAACAGCATTTGCTGATATTGGGGTTCAGGGGAGTCAAAGATGTCCAGCATCTTTGGCATCCGGGAACCAGCATATACTCTCTGGATCCCCAGCTGCAGAGTGAATTTTCATTACGAAAGCTATTAAATTGCAGTCTGGCAGTTCAACTAACATAGCTCAGAGGGCGCCCCCCCACCCCTCCCCCACCTCAAACTCTACTGGTATGATGGCATGACTCTAGGAATTTCCCTCCACCTGCTATCTTACTGTATAACCCCCTCCCGCTGTGTTCTAAAGTTCAGTTTCTCCTTATAACCTCATTTCCAGAAACTTCCAGTCACCACCCGTCCTATGGGCCACTTGGATAGTTGATGGTTCTCTGAAGTTCATGTGTGTCCTTTTTCAAACTCCATTTAACCAAACGCGAGTTCACGCTAAGAGTAAGTGCTGCAGGCGGCAGTGAAGGATAAGCTCCACAGCCACGGCTGGACGGCAGTGTCTGGACGTCACCTTGGAGTCTGGAACCCCTTTCAAATGAACACCCTCCTCAGTTTTAAGTTTCACATTTTTATCTTTAAAATGGGCCATGATGAGGTTTATCGGCAGGAGGGCTGTGAGGCCAGGCCTAGTCAAAGACAGCTGGTGTTCAGTTTCATTATTTCTCCTCCGAAGATGCTCGCAGAGGACACAACACTTCATAAAAAAAGAGATTGAAGTTTAGAAAAAGGGTTCCAGCCTTTTAAAGAAATAGACGCAAATTATATCAGTCAAATCTGGACGGGATGGTCTAAAAGATGACTAAATGCAATACGAGGATTGCATCAAAGATTAAAATGTGAGAAAAGAATCAACAAGAGGATAAGTGTGGAAGCCTGAAAACTGAACTGTATTTTCAGCTAACATATTTCAGTACACATTTTATAAAAGAGAATGTTAATATGCTTCATGGATAAATTAATAATTCTTCCATTCAAAATTGGTATTTTGAGATAAATTGAATTTACTTAAAATGATTGAAAATGAAAAAGCCTGGCATATACACATCCACGCAACATAAACAGCAAGATTAGGACAAGAGATAAGATACAGAAAAGAGAAAAACCAAAGACAAAGGTTAATCTTCTTAGGAATTAAGTCTTTGTGAAGTGACAAATACTAGAAAAATAAAGCTAATATGAAGAGCCAGTTCATCTAAAGAAATTCACGTTTGATTTTCTTTCTTTAAGGATTTAACATTTATTTTCATTTTAACAATAAACTCTTTAAAGCAACATTGCATTATAACATATGTCTCAGGTGTGCATCCTTCTAAAAAGAGAAACATGTTTTTGAAACAAAGACTTTCATAGTAGGGCCTTTGGAAATTAAAGCATAAAACCCACACTTTTTCTTTTGGATCTACGATTTGGTACAAGGGCAAAACATTGACTGACCACATTGCAAGGGTTTGGGTGGGAAGCGCCATCAATCCCTGGAAGCCTAGATTTGAAAGGAGCCAGATGTTTTGCAAGAACACTTTGGTGAAGTCAATCCAGGTAGTGAAACACCCAGCAGTTTTACTTCAGGGATTTTGTTTCATTCATATCTTGGCACAGGTCACAAATGCACACACTTAAAGTCAGTGTGACATGATATTAATAACAGAAATAAAGCCCAAGACCCGTTTGCAATGGGGGCTTAGCGGGTACCAAGAATTTAGGGGGTGCCACCTTTTTGCCAGAATTCTGTGGAGTGGGTTATGCTGTGATTTCCAGTTCCTGTCGGAATAGATACAACTGAATTCACAGTCTCAAGGAGGATGTGGCCGGGTTTGAAGGGGCATTTGCATTGCTTGTCTGGGTTTTCCCACTGCTCTGGATTATTGGGCGGTGGCATTTAGAAAGTTCTATTGATCGATGGCTCTGTCAGCCATGCAACTGTCTGAAACCAGTGCCCCCCACCCCCATTTCATTGGAGGCCCCCTCTCCTTGTCAGTTAATTTTCCACTCTCAATCACTTCTGAGAAATCAGCGCCCAGTGCAGGGGTGGGAGTCGAGGGAGGGGTGCAGGCTGGGAGGCAATCTGGAGACAGGAAATAAGATCACTTTGCCTAATGAGAAGCCTCATGTCCACCAGGTTGGCTCTTCCTTTTTTCCCATGGGGCATGTGGGAATTTCCAGCCCCATCTATGCCCTGGAATGTACCAACTCAGAGGTAATAAGCTTCCCATCTGGGATTCAGTTGGGAGAGGAGGGACCAGAAAACCTCTATCTCAGCGCTATGCCCTTCCCCCACAGCTGTTCCTGCCACAAACCCAGGTCATTAATTAGCCACCAGCCCTGGGAGGGCCCCATCTCTCAGGGCAGGGCTTGTAACACCCAGAGACTAAAAATTCAGTTGCTAAGGCCAACCAGTCTCCAAGGGAGCGGTGAATACCTCAGGGGCAAAATGCAAGGGGGCACCCCCAAAACTCAGTGATCAAGATAGATAACATTCTTGTGCTTTGGATTTTTTTTTTTAAAGATTTATTTACTTATGCATACAGAACTGGGGTACAAGCC